CCTAGACATAGATTGTCTCCAATTTTAGAAAATGCATGGGCAAAAATTACCAATTCTTCAGAGTGCTGCCATGTATGTTTTTGTGGTACCTGCAAACAGTGCTCCTGTTGAAAGGGTATTCAGTCCGGATGGCTTGATTATGAACCCTAAGCGTGCAAGTTTAAATTCTGACACTGTTTGTCAGTTAGTGTTTTTTAAATGTAACACGGATATATTACTATAATTTTTTATAAAAATCAGCATTTGTAATCTTTTTTTTCAAAAGAATAATAGAATAAAAACATTAGTAAATAGGCTAAATAGCTTATAAAGTGTTTTGTGACTGTATTGTGTATTATGACTTCTTAGCTATTATATTACAGATGGTTTATTTTACTTTTAAAGCTACTTTAGTAAATAAAGTAAAATTATAACTATTATCATGCTGTATTTTATAATAGCAAGTTGACTCTTTGAATGTAGCTACCAGAGCCATGGCAAGGTTCCCCCATGCCCCTTTTGTAAGAGGAATTTTGTGGTTTCTATGACAGGTTTTAAAAGAGGCTTCCGAACTCCTAGCCGCGTAACTGATAGCTATTACATACATGGGAATCTTTTATTATGATATGACTTGAGACTTGACTTGACATGTCACTATATGACTTGAGACTTGACTTGAGACTTGACCTCAGTGACTTGAGACTTGACTTGAGACAGTTCTGATTCTGCTCTTAAATGATCTGGGCTTCTGTCTCTTCTACAGTATTTGTTTTCCTGTTCATAATTGATATTAAAATCTTTAGCTCTCCAAGGAAAAGATCAATAAGCTATTTACTTCTATAACTTAAATCTAATTCTTTTTGATAAATCATAATCATTATTGAGAACATTTAAAATAAATTTGGTTTAATTATTACAGATTGATATAGGTTTACAGCTTAATAACTTCATTAAAACTTACACTTCAAGACTTTGTTTTTCTGACAAACATATACAAAAATTTTATTCTTGTTGCATTTTTATTAAGTATTGGTTGTGTAATTTTTACCAGGTTTCAGATACATTATAAATTGGTTTTGTTATAGTTAAGAAAAATATTTTAATCAGATGTTTTTTTTTTAGCTAAACATGTGTCAAAGTAAAGGAGTGTTTGAATAAAGTTGTATCCAATATGAATTAGGGGCAGTAGATTAAATAATCAGAGATATCTTTTTTTGATGGAATAAAAAGAAATCTCTTCCCAGAATCTTACAAACTATCTCTTTTTAAGTTCACTACAAATGTTTTCCTTGTTTTGTTCATTAACTTTATCATCAAAGAAAGATAAAAAGTGATTTCTCAAGACAATTACCAAAGATGTTGACTAAAATTGCTCAGGATTGGAGATTAATTTATTAACAGTTTTATATTCTTTAAGCCTCTTTTTTAAAGCACAAATCTTAATTTGGTATGTTCACTGCAAGGCTACATCCATGTCCTGGTTTCATGAATGAAACTGCAATAAATAAATAAATTTTTTGAAGTGCTCATTTGGTACTAATTTTAAACTGGGATTGCAACAAACATTTTTTTAAAGAGTAAAAAGCTCTAGAAATTCACCTGTCTGATTTTAACACCGCCTTAGGAAGTCTGATTTTACCTTTTTATTTCTTTATTTCTTTAGTTCAACCATTTCCCAATAATCGTCATGCCAATGGTTTTTTGCTGTTCTTGATTACAAAATGTCAATAATACTTCTAATGTTGTCTTACTAAAATTTTGTGAGATAACGTATCGTTGAGGTTCTAGTCATAAAACAAAAAAAATTTCAGCTTTTTGTTTACGCTAACTATTCATCCTAAACAGCAATGGTTCTCTTTATTTTTTTAAAATTAGTTATTCTATAAAATTATCTTCTTCTATTTTCATCTGTTCCAAAGCATCACTGTGTGTTATACTTAATAAATTATCAAAATTGTTTTGAAAGTCCTCCTCATGGTGCTTGTATTTGTTTACATCTCTTGAATTACACAATTAGGTGTAGCGTTTGGTACAGATTCTAGCTTTTTCTTATATATTCTTATAGAATATATAAGAAAAAGCTAGAATATATTCTTGGATAACAAGATTTGCAATTTCACGAACAGTCATTTACTTTGCAAATGCTAAAAAAAAGTACAGCAAGTACAGTACATGATTAATTTGCACCTGTTATTTAATAACTTGCATCTCAAAGTAGGAATTTTTTTTTGCTTTTTAATTCCACTGTCATCTTTTAAATGTAAAAAAATACAAGCTAATTACAAGAATAATTGAAAACAAATGACAAAAATCATAAGTTTATGTGCTGCTACTTTTGCAGCAAGCAGAAAAAATAGTACCCTCTAATTGAACCCTTATTAAATAAGTAATACCTAATCAAACTTAAACCTGTAGTCAGTGTACACTCTACTGCACCTTTTCCTATTAAAGTCAGTTAATATACAAGGGGGGTCCAAAAGTTCATAGAATGGAGGGGATGGAGTGAGGATGGGGCGATCGCTATGTGTCACACTAATTAATGACTCATCATTAGTACAGAATTTTTTCAATCAATCTCTGATGCATCATTCGTTTACAAAAACTTGCCTGCTAAACAAGTCAATCCAGAAGAAAACTGCAACTATGGAGAAAATTGAACACTGTGCTGTGATAAAAATTGAACACTGTGCTGTGATAAAAATTGAACACTGTGCTGTGATAAAAATTGAACACTGTGCTGTGATAAAAATTAAACACTGTGCTGTGATAAAAATTGAACACTGTGCTGTAATAAAAATTGAACACTGTGCTGTGATAAAAATTGAACACTGTGCTGTGATAAAAATTGAACACTGTGCTGTGATAAAAATTGAACACTGTGCTGTGATAAAACTTTAAAATCTGAGTAATCTTTCCAAGCAAGAATGCTCAGACAATTTTGAATGAAATGGAAACCGTTTGTGGAAAACAGTCCCCTAGTAAATCAATGATTGACAAGTGGCATAGTCTTTTTAAACATGGTCGGAAGTCAATTGAAGTTGACCATTGTTTAGGAAGGCCAGTTGAGGTTACCGCATCAGACTTCATTGAAAAAGTGGAAAAAATTGTACTGGAGGACACCTCACAGTTATCTGCATTAGTTAGAGTATCAGATACCACTATTTTACAAATCCTACATGACCACCTGGGTATGAAAAAATTCAAAAACCCATTTTAAACATAGTTGGACCTGCTCTTGCTGCCAACCTCAAACTATTACACATCATTGTAATGTTGCTTCTCTTTCTCTTTTCTGAAAATAAAATAATGGGCACTATTCCCTCACTACTTGTGCCATATACTAAAATTCATTCTTGCGTTACTTATCATTCTAATAAATCTCATCCTTTTTCTGTGACTGTTCCTAAGTGCTCCAAAAACTCTTATTCCTCTAGCTTTTTTCCTCAAACATCAGTTTTTTGGAATTCCTTCATCTTGTTTCCTAATTCATATGATTTCCAGTCTTTTAAGTCATCTGTCAATTGTTATCTTGCTCAATAAACTTCATCTTTTCTCTTACAGTAACTTCTAACTCTAATAGTGGTTGCTTGGAATCTTGTTGGAAACAAAGATGTTAAAAAAATATATATTTATAAATCAAATCTTCCACATCCAGAAAAAAATATATATTATCTAATTCTTAGACAATTGATGACACACTAAATGGCCAACTAATGCTTATACTTTTAAAATTTACTACAAATGCTAATCAGACAACCTTATTTAAACAAAGTTGAAATTAGTTTATGGTTATTATCTTTATATTATATTTAAGGTGGAATTCTCTTAAAACAAAGACAATCATACTGATTGACTCCTATTATAAAGAATTCAATTCTATATAAGATAAAAGTTTTAAAGAACTTAAAAATCAAACTTAAAAAAATTTATGTAATAGATTATTACAGGCCGCCGAGGTTCTGAAATACAAAACAAAAGAATTCAAATTAGGAGCTCCAGGATTCTTGATTCAGCACTTTTTTTTTTTTTGCATCCTTGCATACTGGTGTCAGAGGTTTTTTGATTATATCACTGTAAATAAAGGTTGTGAAAAAACCCCCTATAAACTCATATAAAGGGAGTACTACTTACAATAAATAAACTCATATAAAGGGAGTACTACTTACAATAAATAAACTCATATAAAGGGAGTACTACTTGCAATAAATAAACTCATATAAAGGGAGTACTACTTACAATAAATAAACTCATATAAAGGGAGTACTACTTACAATAAATAAACTCATATAAAGGGAGTACTACTTACAATAAATAAACTCATATAAAGGGAGTACTACTTACAATAAATAAACTCATATAAAGGGAGTACTACTTACAATAAATAAACTCATATAAAGGGAGTACTACTTACAATAAATAAACTCATATAAAGGGAGTACTACTTACAATAAATAAACTCATATAAAGGGAGTACTACTTACAATAAATAAGATCTTAAATTAAATCAAAATAAATAGAATTTTATCAAACGATGTTTGTGATAAAAAAAAAATTACTGCCAAAATTGAGGAGGGGGATCTCATATCTATTTTTATTTGAATAAAATAAAAATAGATAAGAAATTAAAATTTTTAGATGTAATTGTATCAGAAAAAGGTATCTTTTATTTATTAAAAAAACTATACAACACAGACTGACTTTCAACTTTTGGACTTTAAAATTTTATTAAAAACTTACAAAAAAGAAAAGAAAAATACAAATACCAATTCAATAAAATAGTACAAAAGTTTAAGTATTATTTTAAGCCAACCAGTCTTTGTATATGGAATAAATATAGTATAAAAACAGGTGTAAATATAATTTAAATATAATAAGATATATAATTAAACAGTAGTAAATAATATAAATAACTTTTATTTCTACAGTTAATAAAAAAGAAGTTTATTCATAAAAAAGGTCCTAGAGGCTAATTTAAAAATAATTGGCTAAAATAAACTTTTAAAATATTACAAAAAACTAACCAACACAGTTTTTATATTCATCCAAAATCCACCCAGGCTTGCAAGTACAATAGTAACTTCCATTATAGTTAATGCAATCACTATTCATCCAATTACAATATTTAGTCAAGTAAATGCATTCATCAATATCTGAAAACAATTATGGAGTAATTTATGAAATAGCTCAAGGTTGAATATGTCAATTATAGACACAACATAAATATATTTGCATTTAATTTTTTTGTTTTGCTTATGAAACTTTTTTAACAAAAATTTTGAAACCAATAAACAAATTAAGTATAAAGTTGAACACATGCTTTTAAATTATCTTTAGCACCAAAGTTCATTCTGTTTTTGTACCTATGGTAACAAATATAAAAATACTTCAATGTTTATTTTTGTAATTTTATGTTTGTAATTATATTCATAGCCAAAAGTGTACATGTTTTTATGTATGGAACATTAAGCGTCATGTTATTTGAAATATTAAAACATCTTATTTTAAATTATTTACTAGAGTGAGAGTAGCAAGCTCACATTCATGATGTGATGTGCTGGAAAACTTTGAAAATAATAACAACAAAATAATAAATGTTATGAAATTAAATTACATATCTTAAAATTTGTGTAATTTATTGTAAAACAGCTTGGCAAAATATTTTCACAATCATTACAAAAATGGTTTTAAAAGCTACCTCATATTAGTTCAAAGTTTTCAAAAAAAAGTTTTATAAAGGTTTCTAACATTACATCAAACATATGTAAAAATTTGCAAACTTTTGATAGTTTTGAAAAGATACATAATAGGATTTTTTTAATTTTTAGTAATTTACTATACATGCAAAAACAGATCAAAGATTTTTCCACACCAAAGAAAAGGAAATTTAAAAAAAATTTAATCTTAAAATGTTGTCAAAATCAAAAAATTTTGATTTAAAAACATGTGTGTGAATAAGTAGATAATGTACATAAACAGGTGTGAATACTGTATGACGTATTTTTTTAAAAAAAAACTTTTTAAAGTTATCTTTAAGATAACTTTCATTTTTTTATTTTACTATTTTTCCTACAGCTGATACAATGAAAACTTAATAACATAATAATGTGGTCGTAGTGGCTAACCATAAAAATAATAGGCTAAAATTTAAAAACATTACAAAAAACTGACCAACACAGCTTTCATTATACTCATCCAATGTCCATCCAAATTTGCAAGTACAATTGTAACTTCCATTGGTGTTGATGCAGTCACTGTTTGACCAGCTGCAATATTCAGTCAAGTTTGCGCATTCATCAATATCTAAAAACAATTACAAAACAATATATGAAATAACCTGAATAAGTCTGAATACAACAACTATAAAACCAATATAAATATGGACACAGCATGTCAATATATCAGTCATTTGTTTAAAACAAAAAACATATACAACAAAACAATAACATATATGTTCATTTATACATCAAATGAGAAATCCTAAAAAATACTTAGCGATTTAAAGTTTTAGGCAGTTCATACAAGAGCAACTAGCTTATAACTTTTAATTGAATTAAATTTATCAACAGTTTTAATTTTTATTAAAGCTAAAACTTTTTTAAAGCAACACGCATAAATAAAAAGCATAAATTTTTTATAAAATCGAAAAATACTACGAAATAGAGGATTGCATTATGTAACTCTATTGGAATATTTCAATTTTAAAATAACTCATATTAAAACAGATTACTTAATCTAAAAGTTGTTTTTAAAAAAAAACATCAATCAACTTGTAAATAACCTCCTTATAATTGCTAATTTATTTTAGCTCATTTTAAACAGTCATATAAAAAAACTCTTGAAACAAAATTGATGACATATAATATCTAATTTAAGATCAAACTTAACATTTTAACAAAATAACCGCCAAAGTAAGATCAAAATGCGTAAGTGTAAGATCAATTTCTAATTAAATGTTTGTATACCATTTAGCAAATGATATATTATAATATATATATGACATCACTTTATATTAATCATATATTTGGTATTAATATAAAAAAGAAACTTTTAAATAACTTAAAATCATTATATAAATGTTATTTGGATTTCCCCTATTACATTTAATCTTTAATAACAACATAAATAAATAATAAAAGTAAGTTATATACATTTAAAAGTTATCCAGACATTTTTTAAAAACAAATTGCGCTATTAAAATTTAAAAACGAGAAATGCTACTTTATTTTCTGTATTTAGTAATTATGCAAATAAATTTCATTTGTAGATTTTTGATAAAAACAAATACTTTAATGTATTCTTTTAAATAAAAGTAGAAAATTGGTAAACTTTGTTTAATAAAAATTTGTCATAAGTCCCCAGTTGCATAATAAACTGAAACATTTATTATTACATTAAACATAAACATACTACCAAAAACATTTTTTTGTAAACACTACAGATTGACTGCAAAACCAAATATTATTTTTGTAAATTAAGTTGTTTAAAAACTCTGTAATCAGTGCACACACTAATAATTAATGTAGTGGTTATGAAAAAAAAAAAAAAAAAAAAACATAAACAATATTTGTCATTGAATTACGTATCTTTAATCTGAAAATATTAGGTTTTGAAATTACAATTTTCAATTTTAATAAAAATAATTATTTTGATGCTTAAATTAAATAAAACTAGTATTATTAAATTTTAGCAAGTAAAATTATTTGTCATCGAAGGTAATTGTGGATTGTTATGAAGACTATTAGCATATTATTCTGTAGATTTAAAACAGAACTTTATTCAACAATAAGGATATTATTTTAAAAATTTAAATAAGCTGAACCTTTGTTTGTTAAATGGTTTGAATACTCAAGTGTATTACCACAAGAAACTGTTAAAATTAATGGGTTTTTTTTTAAAGCTGATTGCAACAAGTGCTACACTGTTACTCAACTTATTTGTTATTTGTTTTTTGTTATTCATGTTGGTCTTTACACTCCTTGAAGTCATCTCAATGAAAGAAAATGTTAAAAGAAGATTTTAAAAGTCATTTAAATCAAACATCTTTATATTCAAAAATAAAAATATTTTTTTCTGTTTTTTTTGCATTCACAATGCGTAAAAGTTTTAAATACTTAGTGATAATTCAATGATTTTTGAATTATCACAAAGTATTTAGGACCAAACAAGTTAATTACCCACAAGAGTAGGTCAAAATTAACATTTCTATATTATCAAGGTCAAAGATAACATTTCCATACTTAAGTTAATACTATAATTGTTAATAACAAAATATATCTAACAGAAAATCTTTAAAAAGGTTATAATATCCACATTAATTTTATTTTCGAGTTTGTACACAGTGAACAGTACTGTCAGTTATAAAAACATTTGATATTGGTATAGCTTGTAACATTTCAAGTGCTATTTTTATTGTGTCTGCAATATTTACTTTAGTTTCTGAAGCAATTTCTAATGTAGACAAAGGAAAATATTATTCTTAATTAATATGTAAACTAGAAAGGGTAAAGGTACTAACTTGCTTTTGCATTATAGAGTCAGTTTTATTTTATTTCCACAAGTCTTACATGATTTTATCTGCAACCAAGAGAATACCCTTGCATCTGTTTTAGTTTATACACTGCCTTTTGGAGATGTTGTATTAGAATCAATTGTTGTATTATTATCACTGCATGTTGGAAGTTAAAATCAATAAATACATTCTCAATACCTGCATTATCGTTTTTTTCTTTTGGAATTTTAGATTTTACTATAAAAATTACTAACTATTTGCAGCACAATTTGTATTTCTCTTATTGAGAATCCTTCATCTCGGAAGATGCATGGTTTGTATCATAGAAAGACTGAGGTTTTCGTTGATCATTAGGTGATACATAAATTTTATAAGAATTGTTTTCAAAGATTAGTTGATATTAATCTGGTCACAGCTGTTATGGTTCACTTACACCAACAAATAAAATTTTCTTTTTTTAATTGGTTCAGTGTTTTTGTTTGAAAAATTTTTACTTTTTTCCAAATTTTTTTAAAAAATTTATTTTTATCAATTGACTTAACTAATATTTATAATTATCAAAGTTTTTAAAACTTAAAAATTATTTGAGAAACTGCTGTTTTATTTCTTATATTTTTCGCTTTATTTATCTTTTTTTCATTAATAGTACATTTTATTATTGATTTCATCAAAAAAACATTTCTGATTAAAGACAACTTTGTATGGTACACTTTTTTCAACTATTGGAAGACTTTCTAAAGAAGTTTGTTTAATTTGATTCATAATTAGCTTGTTGCTACTTTTTGTTGCAATTTTTTACTTTTGATTCAATATATAATTTTATTTCACAAAATTAACCAATTAATAATTCACAAGATGAACAAGGTGTATGTGTTTCCATACATAACCCTTGTACATGCCAACGTGTACAAGGTTTATGTATGAAATAATAAATATACGTATGAAATAATAAATTTCAAAATATTGGCATTATTAAAATGCTATTTTAAGTATTATTTAGCAGAATAGGAGGTGTCAGTTCACACATATGATATGCTGTGATGAAAAAACAACATACATCAAAAAAAAAAAAAAACATTTGTCAGAGAATCAATTCACATATCTTTAAAGTTTGGCTTGTTATTCAGTTTTTCTTATATTCATATAGAATGTATAGAAAGAGTATGATTTCTGGTTTGACTATTTTACAATTATTATATTAATTATTTTGGCCTCCAAATTTACAATTTTACAATTTACAAGATACTTTTCTATGAAGATTGTAATTAAAAATATATATATTTTTTACAAAATATATATTTATATATTTTTATAAAATATGTTATACAAAACAAGTAGTTGTAAAGTTTTTGAAATACTTTTAAATGACTTGTTACTATAACTTCTTTGTTTTTTAAACTTTATTTATAACTTTTATATATTACGTATCTTCATTTATAAGTTTTTATTTTATTAAGTTTTTTTAACATATGGCAGTTTTTGGTGCTTTAGACAACAATAATAATCAACCATTATTATTGTTCATTTTTAACCTTGGTATAACTTTCACATTTTTATTTTCTTACACTTGATACAATGAAAAATTTAATTACCTGATGATGTGGTCCTAGTGGCTAACCATGCAAATAATTTTTAAAAGTTATACACTAGAACCACATTATCATGTTAATTATAAGAGTAAAATAAACTTTTAAAACATTACAAAAACCTAACCAACACAGCTGTTGTTAAATTCATCCCATCTCCACCCAGGCTTGCAAGTACAACTATAACTTCCATTGGTGTTAATGCAATCACTGTTTGTCCAATGGCAATATTTAGTCAAGTTTATACATTCATCAATATCTAAAAACAATTATAAAACAATATATGATTTAACTTAAGTTTGAATATGTCAACTATAGCAGCAACATAAATATGTATATAGCATGTTATTATTATGTACTAAAACCTGTTTTATAAACTTTTTTGTAAATGATATTACTTTTGCATAACATCTATTGTAATGTTTTAGTTTTAAAATTGCTTATGTTAAAGCAGATTTCATAATCAAATGTTTTTGAAAATATTAATTGACTTGTAATAATAATTAATAACTTGTAATAAATATTATTTAATCCATAATGTGGTTCTAGTGGCTAACTTTAAAAATAATTGCCTGATAATGTGGTTTTTGTGGCTAACCTTGAAAATAATTAAAATAAATTTTTAAAACATAAAAAAAACTGACCAACACAACTGTTGTTATATTCATTCAATCTCCATCCGGTCTTGCAAGAACAATTGTAACTACCATTGGTGTTGATGCAATCACTGTTTTCCCAATTGCAATAATTATCTGAGTCTAAGCATTCATTAATATCTAAAAATAATTTTAAACTAATATATAAAATAACTTTAGTTTAATTGTCAATTATAGAAGCAAAACAAATATGAGTGCAGCGTGCTTATGTCAATCTTTTATGCTTGTAAAAAACTCCAAAATTTGTGTATGTTTATATTTAAGTTTAAAGATCTTTTCTTTTTTTTTTTTTTAATCTTCGCTTCCAATAAGGCTGCAAGCAAACACTAATTAGTGTTGGAGGTTACTAGAAGAGAAAAGATGAAGACTGTGGAGCAAGATAAAGATTGACAGACAACTTAGAAGATTGCAATTTATATGAATCAGGAAAGCAAGATGAAGGAGGCGAATTCTAAAGAATGTTCAAGGAAAAAAAACTAATGTTTACAATGCGTTTAACTATGTTTACAATGCGTTTTTGCACCTTGTCTTATTTAAAGATGACAAAGTTTAAAATAATACTAGGTAATCAAAATGTTTTAGTTCTTTTATTTTAGGGCAATCAGCTTATAACTGATTTCCTACTCCTTCAAACTAAATGTAAATACAGATTTAAAATTTTAAAGCTAGCAATACATGAACATAAAATATAAATTACTTTAAAATTACATAAAATTGAAAAATAATAATAAATGAAACAATAGAAGTTGATGTTGTTCATGTAGTGTAGCAATCTAGTAGTGATGTTGTTCATGTAGTGTAGCAATCTAGTAGTGATGTTGTTCATGTAGTGTAGCAATCTAGTATAGCCTTCCAATAATCATTGTAGAATAAAAATCTCAACAATCAAATTATCATTGTAGAATCTCAGTATGTTCTTCTGTTGTTTGTTTATTACTTTTTTGGATTTATGGAAAAGTTCAAAAGTCAAGATTAAAAAATCAAAAGAAACATTTTAAAACTTTAAATACTAGTTAAAAACAATATTTAAATATTTATACTAATTATAAATAATATTTACATTTTTTGCTGAAATTACACCAAACTATGACTAAAACAAACTTTTTAAATCAAAGTTTTTAAAAACATAAATTATGCATGTATTATAAAATTAATACTCAAAGTTTTTTTAAATGTAAAAAAATATTTTTTAACAAATTTAAAAAAATTCTTTTTGATCTTTTAATTGTGACTTTTGAACTTTTGATTACGCCAATACATGTATCATATTTGAAAAAAATAATGGTCTCTGACAATCTTAAAAACTTAAGATTTTTGCTATTTATACATGTGTAGCCCATGATATGAATACAAATATTAGATTGAAATGCTTTTTGCTATTTATACATGTGTAGTCCATGATATGAATACAAATATTAGGTTGAAATGGTTTTTGATAATAAGATTTGAAACAGTTAACACATAATATCTTAGTTATTCAACTACAACTTACCAATACAACTGTAGTTATTATCAGCTAATTTCCATCCAGAACCACATATACAATTGTAACAATCCTCTCCATTTATGCAAACACTAAGTGTCCAATTGCAAGGTTTAATGCATTCATTTAAATCTAAAGATACAATCATAGCACAATATTATGATAGCATTAAAAAAAATTGAATAGTTAAAACTATTATAAAAAAATTTTATATATAAAACTAAAAAAAAACCACTCAACTATATTGATCACCAGTATTTATTAAATGATTATAATGATTAAATGAATACTTAAATTAATAAAAATATTTATTATTTAGCATTTAAAAAAAAGATCTTAAAATTTAAAAAATAGAATAAAATTGAGTTTTTTTTTGTTCACAAAAATAAACAAGATCCTAGATTTTGGCAACAGCAACAAAAAAAACTGGTTTTTGCTGGGTTTTATGGAATTTGGGATTTGAACAAAATGTAAGTAATTTTTTTTTATCAGAATTTGTAAAAAAATTTGCAAACAAAATTTGAGACATTGTTGTTAGTAAGTTATACAACTCATTAATTAATGAGTTTATAAAAAATATTTTTAATAAATATACAGGGTAAACTAAAAACTTGGCTTTATAGTATACTACAACAAATCTATCAGCAAAATACCAGTATATGCTGTAAGTGACAAAGTTAATTTTACACACTGGTACTTGTTTCATTTAAAAACTTTCTTTTCTTACTTTGAATTTATTGGCAATTTATAACATTAAATCTATTCCAAACTTAATAAATATTGAATAATTAAATATATAATTTTTAACATTTTGATAACAAAAATATTTTTTTATATAAAAATATAAAATCGATGGGTGATACAAATATTTTTATTACAATTTTTGAAATCAGCATACTTGGATACATTACACGGGAAAATGTTTTTCTTATTTTAAATTTCTTAAACTACAACATTTTTAATTGATGGTCACTTATATTTGTTACAATATAATAACTAAATGTTTATGCTCACTAAAATACTATCATTAGATAAATGTAAATGGTATAAGCTACTATAGTTTAGAGTTTCTTTTCAGTATTGGTGCGAAAAATCATTCATATTTTTTACAAAATGCTGAATTTTATGCTAAGTATTTTTATAGTCTACTTAATACTCACATTTTCAAAAACAGGGGGTTGTTTTTGCATTTTTGTTATACTATACTTATAATAAATATATAATTCACATTTTGTTATGGTTTTGTATGGTTGTTGTTATGGTAATAAACTTTTAGAATTTTAGAAAAAATGTCAAAAGTACATTTAAGAAAGAGTTTAAAAATGACATAAAACTAGATTTTTGTTAAATAATATTTTGCAACTTGCACTTTACATTACTTTCATACTATTTTTTTTTTTTTTTTTTTTTTATCATTTATTTTTACTATCATTTGTTTTTTATAAAATTTAAAATTCTTTACATTAAATATTCCTAAGTAAATTTTTTGTTCAATTTATGATAAACCGAAGCTAAAAATTATTTATCTCATGAAAACTTCATCACTTTGAAAAGATTATTTCACAGTAAAAAAAAAATTTAAATTTTTTACTAATATTGATTTTAATTTTTAGATTTTTAACATATATTGTTTTTAATTTTTAGATTTTCAATTTATATTAGTTTTAATTTTCAGATTTTCAAATTATATCATCATTAATTTTTAAAATTTTAATTTATACTATTATCAATTCTTAGATTTTCAATTTATATTAGTTTTAATTTTTAGGTTAATATAATGTAATACAAGTATGTGTTTGCAATCCCAATAAGTATGTTGGGGTTGTAAACCCATCGGATCCAGTGTTTTACTACTTGACAACCATAAGAGCCATGTTTCAATTGTGTTTTTAAATTTAGCTAAAATAAAAAAGACATAACTACTATGCTGTCTTTTCCACACCATTGTAGTCACAAGTTGCTGCCGTTGGATTGGTATGTACCATAAGAAAACATATCATCTTTAAAAAAAGGTGTTATTATACAATAAAAAGCTTTTTCAAAATGTCTATAAATTGTTATTTGATATTATAAATGTAACATTCATAGAGTAAAAAAAATTTCTTGATTCAACAATATAAAAAGTATTTAAAAGAGAAATAATTTAAAAAATTATTATTTTATCTTAAATTTATTTCATCATAACTTTACAAAATACAAAAATATTTTAATTTTTGGTTTCAAAGATTTGTTTATTTTTGTTTTATGAAAACAGCTTTTGACCCCATATGAAACCCTCTTGAAATGTTTGAGAGGAATATGGTTTACATATTTCTAGGTTTGGTAGTCTTTACGTAAAACAAAGTGTAAATAACTTACGTAAAATAAAGGATTTCCTTGAATTTTTGCATCATAATTTAACATATAGTTCAACAACACAAAAAAGATAGATAATCTCTACTTCAATACTATGTTTATAAAACAATATTTTATGATTACCATCTAATATTAAATTTCTGGTCACTTTTTTTACAGTCTATGATTTCATGGTTGAGTTAGTTCTTGATAGTAATATTTAGGAAATCTTAGTATAATTTTTACATAAACTAAACTAAAAAATCGTATTCTATTTCATGGTTGATCTCTGTAAATAACAACTTAATTGGTATTTTGCCAATAAAAACATTAAGGTATTTGTTCAAATATTTTGTTTGAAATAAATTTGAAGTTTTTATAATACTTAACTCAAATATAGAAAACCCTGAATCTACCACTGAGTTTTTAAGAGTTTTCAGTTTAATAATTTTGTTTTTTAATGTTGCTATTGCTAACTCAGTTAAATGGTTTAACTGATTTAATTATGCATGATAAGTAATAAAATCATTCAGAGTTTAATGTTTTAACTTTTTGTCACAAGTTTTCAAACGCCAGTTCAAAGGAAAAAAGTCAATGACAGAAACCTTTTCAAATGTTTGACCAATTTAATTTTGACCAATCTAATTTTTGATAAACACTTGTCTTGCAGAGAAATGAGATTATTTTATGAATTAAAATATTGTTGTATTTAATTTTAAATGCTTTAAAAAGTAAAAAATTTATAAAAAAATTTAAATCTTTAGAATTCTTTAAGATTAAGTTTAAAAACATTTGAAAAAAGTTTCTAAACTCTTAAAGCATAAAGTTTACAGTTTTTAAATAGTTAATCATTTTCCAGTGTTATTTTACATCCATTATTTTTGAAAATATTAATAAAAAATAAGCTAACATAAAACTTACCTGAAAATTGTTGTTGATCATTTTGACTATAACAGTTTATCTCAAAAGGTTTAGTTTGAAATGATTTATAAGAAAGTCCTGCAGTATTTTCAAAATAAAACTTTATCGGAATACTTATGTAATTTCCACAATATAGACAGCTAGAATTATCAATAAAAGCAGTAATACTTTGACTAACTCCAATGTCTGGTAACTTCATAATCTAAGATATTAAAACATATACTCACTAGTACATACAATTAAACATATATAATGTACATATATCATAGATCATCCAGGTCATATTTAAAAAAATCTGGAAAAACCCTTGGGTAAAATATTCGGAAAAAATCATATTTTCCCATATTTTCCTATTAATTTTGCTTTTAACTGAGTTGTTTCCAATTTTTTTTCCAAATTTTTTTCAATTTTCGTATGAGTGATGAGTGAAAAAAGCTTAAAAAATAAATATATTACAAAAATATACACCTAAACTTGTATGTATGGAAAACATTTTGGATATCCAAAAAAACTTGAGAAAAATTTCCAGAATTGCGGAAACATCCGGAAAAAGATCCCTAATATACATATCTATCTATATATATATATATATATATATATATATATATATATATATATATATATATATATATATATATATATATATATATATATATATATATCATTTTGGATATCCGAAAAAACTTGAGAAAAATTTCCAGAATTGCGGAAACATCCGGAAAAAGATCCCTAATATACATATCTATCTATATATATATATATATATATATATATCTATATATATCTATATATATATATATATATATATATATATATATATATATATATATATATATATATATATATATATATATATATATATATATATATATATATATATATATAATACATATATATATATATATATATATATATATATATATATATATATATATATATATATATATATATATATATATATATATATATATATATATATATATATATATATATATATATATATACATATATATTGTGACCCAAAAACACAGTCAGTGTTTTAATTAAACTATTTTTATTCAATAGTATTTGTTTTATAACAATTAAAACTTTTTTAAAACTCGAACAAAGTACTTAGAGTCATTAATGGGGCAAAAGGGTAAAATTAAGGGGCTCAGCCCATTTAAGCATTTTAGGTGCATGTAATAAAAATTTATTCAAGAGTATTTTTTCTATAAAAATAGAATAGATATTTATAATAACACAAAAAAATGACTGTAAACTGTTGGGAATACTTGAACAATAAGAATCTTGGGTAGTTAGGAATAAATTTTTTAATATAGTAAATGCTAACTTATAGTGAATGATTCACTAAAATATTCAGTTGCAATAAATTGACAAAAACAATATTTTTTTACTATTTTAATATATTTCATAAACTCAACTATAACTTGAGAAAAACTGTTAAAATAAACATTAATTATATTATTAAAATACCACTTAAAAAATCAATAGAGTTATTTAAATATTACCAAACAAAAGTTTTTAGCTTAACGGAAATAGCATAGTGTAACATAAAAATCATTGTGTACATGAATTGCTCTAAGCCTGATGCTTACGTAGCCTGCTGCTACATTGACAAAATCCTAAACACGTGCCATTTTACAATTTTAAACAAAAGCATTATGACTGCAATAATTGTGATTGAAAAAATTTCAAGTAAAAAATCATTATTTCTTTCATTTCTTTGCAGAAATAGAAAAGAAGTGGAAGAAGAAGAAGAAGTGAAGCTACTATTAAGCAAACCACAGCATTGAAACTCGAATCTAATTAATGCAAGATTAAAAAACATAGATTTTGTGTCAGCATTACAAGATCACATTCAAAATTTTATGTTCTTATTCTAACTTTTATGTTCTTATTCTAATTTCAACTGACTATAATTAAAATATATTACAAAATAGGTATATTTAAAAAAAAAATTTAATTTTATTAAAATTATTAATAAAAAACATTTTAATGACAAAACAAAAGTTTTGTCATAAACTGTTTTTTTTTCTGTAAAATAATATGAAAACTTTGTTGTTTGTGTCTTTTTTATGATTTTTTGTTTGATTGCTAAATGAATAATATACAAAAATGAAAACTAATTAGCCTAGATAGAATTAAAATTTCAGAGAAACTTAAAAAAAAAAATATGCTGATAAAATAATACTTAATTTCGTGTTGCATCACTGAACTTATGTTTTAATTAATGTCTAGTATCAGCATTGAGATAATAAAATTGTATTTAACTTATATTATAATTAACTTTGTAAAAAAAAAAAAAATCTCATTGAGACAATAAAACTGTATTTAACTTTATTATGAAATTTTAGTTCAGGATGATTTTAGGATTATAAAAAAGTTTCTGAATTATAGAAACTTTTATTAGAAAAAATCTCTCTGCGTTTTTGACATAAAAAGTGGACTTTTAACATCAAGCTTATTAAAAAAATGCAAACAACAACAAAAATATTGCTTATGACAACTAGATGACCAAAAAAAGTAACAGTTTTTTTGTTACCTTTTAATGACAAACTTTCATAATCATTGCTATAATTATCTACCTATTTGTAATTAATTCAAAGTATATTTTTGAGTAAGTGAGTGAAAATTTGCTTTTAATACTTTCTTAATAACTTAGTTGTTATTAAAAACCCATTATTTTTTGATCAATTAGAACAGACAGCCAATCATGCATGTAACTTTGATGGAATTTAAAATTCTAATTATTTACGAAAAATTAAAACTTTAATAATCTAAATTAATGCATTTAAAATTTTCATTAGTAAATTACATTAGACTATTAGACATAACATTAGATATTGGACTAAAAAATTACAATTTTAATAAACTAAAAAAAAAGGTTTTAACAAAAAATCAATATTTTCTTCATAAGATCAACATTTTTTAATATATTAATTGAATCGGTTGTTAAAATGTTATTAAAATGTTAAAAGGGCAAAAGTCTAACAATGTAAACTAAAAAAAAAATTTTCCCTGGTAGTAAACTTTTGTTGATGGTTCAATTATTTTATTTTTAAAGGTAAAAAACATCCTCTTAAAAAAAAATTATTAAACCATTGAAAAAAATTTTAGTTTTTTTTTATTTTTCTGAAAGATTACATATTTGGACTTCCACATTTTTAACATTCACCAATTCAATAATTGTCTTTCTTTATTATCTTCCTTTTGATACCAAGTTGTAAGCATTTTGATAAGAATTGACTTAGTTATGACATTTATTAAATTTGAGTTTTAAGAAAGAAAAACTCAAAGTTTGGTAACTAATCAATTGATCTAACAAATCAATTTATCAAAAATTGTTACTTCAAAAATCATAACTACTTGTAGAATTGTTCAACAATAAGAATCTAACCATTTCAAAGTTAGCATCTGTTAAGATTCCATCTATCTAAAGATTACCTCTATCTCTGTCCTTTCATGGAATACTTTTTTACCTAGGCTTCTTCTTTTTATTTTTAAACAAGTTTCAAAAGTGCAATTTTATGTTCACTTGGACCTGCTCTAGCTGTTAAGCTTTTGACTCTGTCTATTGTTGTAAGGTTTAGCCTTACGACAATAAGACAGAATCATTTTTCTAAAAGTATCATAGTCACTGCATAAGAAAGCTATCACCTCATGTTCCACTCACCAAAACACAATATTGGATGATTCACTATTTAGCAAGGTCACATCATTTCAATTCCGTTACATCAGAAGCAGCAAGACTAGCAATATCTGAACTATCAAACTACCTTTTATTTTTACTGTTAGAAAAAATAAAACAATATATGTACATATGTATGCATATAAAATTATGCTTGCTGCTCAAATTTTTAATAAACATAACCAAATTTCTAAAGTTCTTTTTTTATCATCAAAAGAACAAATCTGCAAAGTTCTGGTTTCGCTTATAGAATTTTGTAATTCCTATTTTGTGATTTCATTTTTAAAAGATACTATATTGGTTACATTTTAAATTAGCATTAAATTTAGAACAATTTTTAACAAAAATTGTTCTATATTTAAATATAAAAAAAAATACTTTTCTCTCATTTATAAGGTGGGACCAAAAAAAGAATTTGGAACCATTTCACAATGATTTTCACAATTCTAAAATTAAACTATTCCACAATTAAAATAAGCCTTAGACCTTGACAGAATATTTTTGAAAACTTTTGTTTTCTGCATATTTTTTTTATTAACCTAATATTTTATCAATTTCACTTTGTTTAGACGTTAATGGATTAAATAAAAACTGTAATTACTTATGTTTATTAAAAAAAAATTATTTTTATCTTGTTTAGGTTTGTAAGGCCAATAAAATTTAATTTTCCAATTTCCTACTGCATCTTTTTTCTATTATTTTTTTCATGCTCAAAAAACTTTTATTCATCTACTTTTTTTAATATTCTTAATATTCTTATAAAATTCTTTTCTGCATTCAATCATTTGTGACAATTTACAGTTTTTTAAGTCGTTTTCTTCTGTTTAACTCTCTTCTTCACTTTTTAGTAACACCTAATTTTAGTTTTAACAAGACTGCAGATTACAGTCTAGTTAAAACTAAAAAAAATGTTTAACAAAAATTCAAAAAATTACAAATTTGTTTCTTAATAACACAACAATAACCTCTTTTACTGCTTGAATGTTTTGTACAAATTTAAATGTGTTTACTTGTTAATACAGTAAATTTTTAATTAACTTAAACCTCCATGGGACCAAGGAGAATAGTTTGACTAAATGAATATTTTACTTAAGAAAATTAAAGTAATTGTTATTAATCTTTATTTTTTTAAATACTGGTTAACTCCCAACAAGGCTGCAAGCAACCACTATTAAGTTGGGAATTACTAGATAAAAAAAGAATATAATTATAGAGCAAGGAAACTGTTGACAGAAGACTTGAAAAGTTGAGGTTGTATTAGTTAAACATGAAGATGAAAGAGAGTTCCAGAGGGATGAAGTGTGGCAAAAAAAAACTAGACAAATTAAGGTTTTTAGAGCATGCAGGGACAGTTACAGTAAATAAAATGAGACTTTGCTGAATGATGTGTCAAGCAAGAATGAGTTTTCGTTAATAGAACTAGAGATAAAAGCTACTTTGACCATGATAGTATTTGTAGAAAATAGACCATGATAGTATTTGTAGAAAAAGACTATGATAGTATTTGTAGAAAAGAGAAAGAGATGCTATTTTACGATGATAGTAAAGGGGCTCAAGCTTAATAGATAGAGTAGGTCCAAATATTACAATGCAATTTTGGATCATTTAGAAGAGAAAGAGCATCAGTATAAGAACCAGCTCAAATATGAGAGTTTCAAGCTTGAGCTGCCTGTTCTAAGCAAAAAAATTTTGTCAAGACAGGAATATAAAGTTGAGTCATTAGTAAAAAGAGCAACTTTAGATGTAAGGTTGTTGCAAAGATCATTATTGTAGATAAGAAACAAAACCTCAAGGTTAGAACTTGGGGTAGCTCAAGTTTCTATCCTTTGTTTTACCAAGGATAGAACCTTAAGGTACCCATAAATTACTGGAAATGAAGAAAAATGGTAGCCTTTTGAGGATGACTTTAATAAAATAGTTAGAAAGAAATAATTTAATAATCTCAAAAACTTTCCCAGAAACACCATACGAAGCAAGTTTATGAAGAAGATCAGCATGCCAAACTTTGTCAAAAGCTTTAGATGTGTCAAGACTAATAGCCCTAGCCTCACTGCCTCCATCTAATGCACAATAAAATCTTTCAGTCACATCAATTAGCAAGTCAACCATAGAGTAAGAGTATCAAAAATCATATTGATTATCTGACAGTAAGTTTTTGTCTCAAGATAGGATGTGTGAAGTTTGTTGAGCAAAGACTAAAAGACTTTGCTAATAACAGAAAGAAGACTGATCAAATAATAATTGAAAGGGTCAGAATGTTTTCCAGAGTTTTTGAAAATTGGAACAACAGATGTCATTTTCCAGCAAGCAGGAAAACAAGACTCAGTCAAGCACTTAATAAATAGTTTGAGAGAAATAAAGAGAGTTCTGGAGAACAATTTTGTAAGACTATGACAGGAATGTTGTCTGGACCACAATTGTAAAAGAGTTTAATTGAGATATGAATTTAGCAATGGAAACTTGAGTGTCTAACAATGAGTAACCTGTATAACTGAAAATAATGTTATCATTTCATCATTGTAATGATGTTAATCAATGGGTTAACTTGTTTAAAAAGAAGAGAATGACTATAAGAGAATTAGAAAAAAGTTTTTTGCAAATAGTTTAGCCTTATCCTTGGGAGTGTAATATGATCAGCCCATGAATAAAAGAACGATTGTTAGATCCCTTGTTAATGACGCTGTTAAAGTTTTTCCAAAAATCTCTAGAGCCTAACTTCTGAGATAAGATACAAGATTAAGATTTAGTGAACTGAGAATAATGGAGCTTAGCATCTGACAGCAACTTTTTACATTGATTTCTTGCAATAATAAATAGCCATTTGTTCACAAGAGAATTGTATTTTTGAAAAAGATGAAAAAAATGATTAAGATTAGATAGTAGCAATACAAGATGGTGAAAACCACAGTGTAGAATGAGGCATAATGAGAAGAAATAAAAGCTTCCATTCCTTCCTGAATCCATGAGTTTATGTAGAAGGTTCATTTATCAGCTGAGAGAGAAAAGATATCAGCCCAAATACACTCATGAAGAAAATTATGAAAAGAATTCCAGTCAGCTTTAAGGAAGTAGTAAGTAATGCAATGATAGGTCCAAAAAAGAATCATGAGAAGAAAGATTTTTAGAGATCATTGTATGGTGAGAACCACATAAGGGAGAAAAATGAGAAACTGAACACAACCTAGGGTCAGTAACAAGGCATGAACTAATGAGTGAAGGTAAATGATTATAGTTGTCATGATAAGTTCACAAAGTTGATAGTTGGTAAATGATTATAGTTGCCATGAAAACAAGTCACAAATCTGAGTGAGATGAAACCTATAACTTCTGATTGAGAAATGCAGAAGTTATAGGTTTTAGTGCCAGCAGGGTCAGTGGTATTAGAGCCAAGCCATTTAATGTGATGAGTAATAAGCTATACAATTGATAAGCAATGAGCTATACAATTGTCTCAGTCCTGTTAATTAACCTTAAGTCATAACATAGGACTCCTTATGTGGAGTCCTTGACAATGCGCGCCAAAAGCATAAACATAGAAACCATTCATGCATAACATCGCACTGTTAATACTCTAATGACTTTTGCATCTGTTGATGGAATCAGCCTTTTTGAGAGCTACCACAGAGTTTGCAAAACTTTACTACCAGTCTCAGAACCATTAAACTAAGTTTTAGAGCTGTACCCTCATTAGGAAATAACAGGAAGAATTGTATAACAAAACAAAAATTTATGGCTTCACCAGAGGTTTTTAAAATAACTTAGGGGTGAGTGAACACTGCACCAGAGGTTCAGACAGAACACAACCATTCAGATAGCAATTTATCGGTGAGTCAACATTGCCCCAGAGGTTTAGTCAGAACACAAACATACATATAAAGTAAATTACAGGTGAGCTAACATAGTAACTAAGGCACCTCCAACTATATAAAATACACACAAAAAAATATATAGACATGACCATTATTAGATAGTACTGATAATAGGAAGCTCACTCCTTCCAGCCTTTACTTAGAAAGCAAATCCTATAAGACATCAGGAAATGGAACAGGTTGCACTGGGTTACATGTTATCAGTAGCAGGGTGATTATGAAGACCATACACCTGACCTAACAAAAAAGTTTTTAAGGGAAAATTAGAAAACAGTTTGATATAACAAAAGTTCAAGTTAACCAGTTTTTGACTTACCAGAAATTAACTATATTTATTTCTTATTTTATTTAGATTTAACTTGATGTTTGCCATAACTTAGCCTACTGTTGAATATTTTACAAGATTATTAAAAAAAATCCCATGAAAAAATGTTTTAAATTTAAAATAAATGCTGACCAAAATTTGGCTAACTTATCCTGTATTAAACAAATTATAAACATATACATAATATAAATAATTATTATAGAATAATTATTGAATCAAAGAATAATTTTAATGCAATTAATGTTGGATTATTCTGACTGTGAAATAAATTAAGTAAAAGGTATACCTTATATACAAGATTGTTTGAATTACTAAAAACTGAATTTTCTGAAGAATATGTGGATTGAAATTTTATGAAGGGAGGTAAAAGATATTCCCAAGTAACATTAACAGCTGGTTCATCAAGATTCCAATAACTTATATTTAATGTGATGTACAAAAAATACCTAAAAAAATTAATATAATATAAAAATTATTAGTAAGTAGCAGTTAATTCTTTTTGAAATTTTATTTTACCAAATGTTTCACCTGGTATAGCAATCATTATATAAATCGTAAAAATTATATAAAAATTTCTTTGCATTTTAAACTTAAAGAAAAAAATGTAACATTTTCTTTTTAACATTATTTTATTAAACTCAAAACTATGTTGAGTAATCAATAGGTGGAAATTTGAAAGTTGAAAAAATTGAAAAATATTATATTAACACATGCATATAATGAAACATTGTGACTGTGAAATTAAGCACTGGAACCCTGAAATAGACAAAAGTCAATAGTCCCATTTGGTGATTTGTGATTTTTTATCTTGGGTTTTCAACTCAACCTTTTCTTATAACTTTCATTACTACTATGTCTTATTAACTGTCTATTGCTTATTCAGGCAGAGAAAAACAAAAAATTTACTTCATGTTGCTATCCTCAAAAAAAAAAAAAATTATTCATGTGACTTTATTTCGGATAAGACAACTATAAAAGCAAAAGCCAGAACTAATTTGATTAATATTTTAGCTAAAAAACTTTACCTAACAATAAAAAATTATCTTCCAACTCAAGTTCTTCCTAAACTCTTTGTTCACACAACATAAAATTATATATATGAAGAATAAATGTAGATGCTTATTTCTCAAATAATAATTGTGAATATTTAAATATTGGTGTAATGGATGTATCTGGTGAGCAACAGACTAATCTAGAATATAATATCTATGAAAAAAGGTATTGTGACAAAACAAATCCAATTAATATAAATAAACAGAAAGAAGAACTTGGTAATAAGAGTGGAGAAGTTTTAATGGTTTTAATTTCAACGTGGCAAACAATGGGATTTTATTATTGTGATTCAACAGAACAAGGTTGCAATGAATATTTGAAAGATTTTTTAACAGTAAAGTAATGAAGCTTGTCAAACATGTGGTTATATTGAAGTTAGTAAAGGCTTGTTATATCGTTCTACTATTTAAAAGGTATAAATAATAAAAAAATAATGGAAGGCCTTGCATATTGACAGAAAAAAAAACACGTCCTAAAATTAATAAGAATCATAATAAGATCTGAACTATGATTACAGTTTTTGTTGTCTCTAGTATTTCTTGGTATTTTGTTTGGTTCCAGATGTTTTAAGTGTTTTCTGATATTTTTACTTAACTCCTAATATTTAATATATTTCCTGATATTTTAAATAGTTCCTGATATAATATTTTATATAGTTTTTGATAATCTATAAAACTCCTAATATTTTATATAGCTCCTAACAGTTAATATAGTTGCTTTTATTTTGTACAGTTTTTGCTTTTTTACATAGTTCCTGATATTTTATGTGATTTTTGGTACTTTATAGAGCTGTCTTATGTAGTTCCTGGTATTTTATACAATTCCTGTTTTTTTTTTTAGTTTCTGATGTCTTATGTGATTACTGATATTTTTATACATCTTTTGATGTTTTATATAGTCTTGATACTAAGCGTATTTCATAGAGTTCTTGATATTATATATAATTTCTTTAATTTTATGTATGTCCTGATACTTTGTTTAGTTGTTGATAATTTATGGCGTTTTATGTGATTTATGTTTTTTCATATAGTTTCTAACATTTCACACATTTTATGTTTCAGATCAGGTTTGGATCATAACTATCATAGTTAACATAATTACTCTAGCTTTAATTAACTAGCAAAGAAGTTCTCAAGTTCTCGCTAATAATTCAAACTACAACTATCAACTACCATCATTACCACTGATTTGTTTAAACTTATATTTTAAACAAATTATTGATCTTTAAAACAACTTTTAATATCTAGAATTTTACCTCTTATAAAATTCATCAAACCTTTGTGAGATTAATTTAAATTAAATTGTTATTATTCTTGGATCTTGCAAAAACTCTAATACTGGAATGTCTGGTTTGGGCTTATATATATATATATATATATATATATATATATATATATATATATATATATATATATATATATATATATATATATATATATATATATATATATATATATATATATATATATATATACTGGAATGTCTGGTTTGGGCTTATATATATATATATATATATATATATATATATATATATATATATATATATATATATATATATATATATATATATATATATATATATATATATATATATATATATAGATATATAGATATATAGATATATATATATATATATATATATATATATATATATATATTATATATATATAATATATATATATATATATATATATATATATATATATATATATATATATATATATATATATATTAGGGTGTCAAATAATAACATTTTTGAAAAATCTATGCTGCCACCCCCTTAATGTGTTCTATATGAAAAAATAACATAAGATTTAAATATTCTTTAAATAAAAAATATTTGTATGGGTCCCTCAAGACCTTGACCATCAGACGGGTGCCTATAATTATCAAAAAAATAGTTCTTTAAAAGTATATCTTGTTGGGTCTCAAAAAAAGCAAAATTATATAAAAATTTTAAAAATAATTATTATTTTATAGAAAAAAAAGTTTAAAAAAAATTCTTTTTAAATTACTTATTTTTTGTTTTTAGTTAAAAAACATCTTTGACATTTTCAGACTGAAACACATTAATAAAATACAGAAATCGTTATGAATTACATTTTAGCACTCTTGCTAAATTGTAATTGTTTTTATCTGTATAAAATATCTTCCCATTCACATCTTTTTTTTTTACATTTGACCTTAGTTTTGCAGTTGTCAAATGTGTAATAAAATGATATGATTGTACTGTCTCTACAAAAAATATGTGCTTTATCACCAATTTTTTTTCAAATAATTTTTTTCATATATCACACTCAGAATAAAATAAAGCACTTAAATATTAACTTTTTAAACTTTTATTTACCTAAAATCAATTCCATTTTTAAATTCAGATTGGTTATCTGTGTAGACTTCATTTGCCCATGGACCTCCTTCTCCATTTGGTTGGCATTTGCTTGATTTTCCTAACTTTTTGTAAGATTCATTGTTTCCTGCAGAACAATAACCACTGTATTGCAAAGCAAAGTATTTATAGCCTCTTTCTGCAGCAACTTTGTAACATTTACCAAAAGGGTCAATACGATCTTTATAATCTCCATCAAGAACAGAAGTCCCTTCAAGATTAATTAATGTTCGTTCTGAATTGTCTAACCAACATCCAAGTTTTCTGATGGAAATCAAGAACAATTAAAATATTTTTTTTTAAATCACAAAACATATATATATATATATATATATATATATATATATATATATATATATATATATATATATATATATATATATATATATATATATATATATATATATATATATATTTATATATATATATATTTATATATATATATATTTATATATATATATATTATATATATATATATATAAATATGTATGATTAAAAAAAATCATATCAGGAATTATTTACATGGCAATAGTGCATCAGTCAACTAGTCTGTTGCATAAATTTAATGTTTCTAGTTACTTTGTTCTAAATAACCAACTATCTAATAACTATCTAACAAAATAATAATACTTAAGCACCTTATTTGAAAGCTGATACAGCACTGTTTGGTATCTACTTTTAGACATCATCATTACTGTAAACAACTTGAAAAAGTTAAAGGGATTTTTGGTATACCTGAAAGTGCTAATAATTAGTAATGATGCTAGATGTCAGATGAAGTAGCTTATATTTAACTAATGTTTGACTTTAACTGTCATTAAAACATCTAATTCTTCTAATGAATAATGGGTGATAAGTTAGCCAACATATTTTAATTAAACATTTTAAGATTTTTCCAACCATTTAAACAACCTTGTGGTTTGACTCATATGCACAAAAAATCTATGAAATTTTTATTATTCAAAACAAATTTATTAAAAATAAAGTTAAATGCTCCAAAACAAGATTTTTTTAAAAAATGTCTCAAACTTTTTTTATAACACCATTATATAAAAAAAAGTGAAATTGTAAAATATTAAAAAAAAAAGAAATAGCATAAAATAAAATTTATGATAACTTATAAAAACTTAAAACTGTACAATTATTTTCTAAGTAAAAAATATTTTGGTCCTCCAATATCCAGACCTAGAGAAAAAAAAGCCAAACAAGAGACTTTTCAACAATTGAAAAGGGGCCAGTCAGAGAAATTTAGCTTTTAAGTTCGGTGTAAATCAATTTACATTTAGTTGCCAATTTACAAAAAAATGAATATTCAATTCAAAAAACATGAAAAGCCTCCAAAATACACTATTAAACAACATATAAAAACAAAAATAAGAAACAGAAAACTTGTTAATCGTCTCTATATCAGTTCTATAACATAAAATCACTTTAGATCATCAATGATGAAAAATACTTTTTTTTTTCAGGTGATAACTGGTGATGCTTGGAAATTCTGAATACTATACAGACATCAAAGAAACATTCCTAGAAGGTGTTTGCTTTGTGAGAAAAGAGAAATTTTCAAAGAAATTATTAAAGTGGGTTTCTGTATTTAACAGAAGTATGTTTGAGCCATAAAAGTATGAAACATTGTTTCAAGTTCCAAGGCTTTAACAATCAATACATCAATCTATGTTGATTAATGTTTAAAAATATGACTTCTTCCATTCATTCTATAAATATTTAGTAAATTGTATGGATGAACATGTCAATTATGCAGATAAGAAATCCAAACCACCAAATGTATCACAAGCACGACCAATTGAGAACTTTTGGAGGCATTTGAGTCAAAAATTTTACAATGGAGGTTGGCAAGCTTCAATGGGGAAAGTCCTCTCAAATTAAAACTAAAAGAAATTTATTAGAAATTTTCACAGTTGCTTATAAAATGTGTCAAAACAAAATTAAGATTTATTGCAGATGATGGAACTTTCTCTATATAAGAAATAACTAATTTTTATTCAAAAATAAAAATATTTTGCTTTAGAAAAATATCCTAAATATTTTATTTTTATTTGTTAATAAGATATTAAAGTTTTTTTTTTTGTTTGATGCTTGATGCACCAGCTATTATTCAAAACTAAAATGAAAATAGTATTTACAAATTGCTTTAAAATATATAGTTTTGAATAAGAAGTGAGAAAAAGTCTGTTATCATTGATTTTCTTTGTTTTTATCCCAATTTCATTCTGTAAATCTAAAGAATTGTTTATGTAGTTTGTATACATGTATATGAGTGTATATGAGTGGTCAGTGTTTATAAAATGTTTGAATTCAATTATAAAGCTACTTAAATGGAGGTTTTCTAGATGTAGTATTATACATAACCATTCTTGTCATAGTTAATCTATACTAAATAACCCAATAATAATGCAAATAACCCAAATATTGCAATAAGTTTTTTTCTTCAGTTTAATAATAGGTACAACTGATAAAATTTATTAATAGATACAAATTCACATACTAAAAATATACAATAATAATATCAAACAGTATTAAAAAAAAATGTTAATAAGGGTTGATTATATATACCAGTAGATGTTTATTACAAGATATTAAACTACTTTACTTACTCAAAGTAAAATGTTAATAAGAGTTGATTATATAAACCAGTAGATGTTTATTACAAGATATTAAATTACTTTAACACCAAGATTTTATAAAGTGTTAAGATTTAAAACCTAAAAAAATGCTTGTTTTTAGATTTTAATAACTTATTTATTTTTGTATCCCTAAAACATATATAATTGTATATTATTTATCTTGATTTTATAATTTTTTCTGATATATATATATATTTTTTTTTTAATTATTTACCTCCCCAAGGCCCGAAAGGGCCACTACAGTCAAGGAGGCTACTAATTTTTTTTTTGTTGTTGTAAATTGTGGTACAACCCTCTCTCAACTCTTTATCTCTGAAACACAAACCTTGACAAGCAAGGCCGCTGCACAGAGAAATTAAGTTGAGCGCGGTACTTCCAAGAACATGGTGGGAGTCGAACTCCGAACCTCTCGCTTACAAAGCAAGCGCTCTTACCACTACACCACTACCGCATGTAATTCATATGAGTCAATAACTGCAAGTCTAAATTTTTTTATGTTAAATAAATAATACCTAAACATTTAGAAAAAGAACACTTAAAAAACAATCAAACTATTATTGTAGTTTAGAAAGTATTGAAATAAATAACAATACTTTAAAATGTTTATAACAATACTTTAAAATGTTTATACTTTCTCTAGCGAAGCCATTCTTTTGAATTCAAGTCATTCCTTTGAATTCAAGTCCATTAAGAAATTAACAATTCAGAAGATTCATCGATTGAAGACATTAAAACAAGTGCAAATGTTTATAGTCTAAGAAATATAATTAATTCATTTTGTGAATCTGGATAAATAAAAACTGTTTTTTTACAGTACACGATAAAAAGATTTTAAAAATTGCTCATTTACTTTCCTGTTTTATTTACTGAGAGACTGGAGAATTCAATGAAATAAAATTGGTTTCTATTATTGAATATTCAACTAAAATTATTGTACCTTTGAATACCTAAAAAACTACAACTTTATTTCAGTTTAGCTAGACTTGATATAAATAATTTTATGCATTTTTTATACTTTTTAACTCTCTCTTTTACTGTTAATTGTAAAAATCTATTTAATCAAGAATGGTTCTAGATACTGTCCAACTAAAAACAAATTAAAAATAAAAGAACCACTTTATACCAAACGAGAAAATCCTTCTTTAAATAAACAAAGATCTCATTATTTATAAATCTAAGGTAAATGTACCAATAACCCATATGACTGACATATCTTTAAGATTGTTTTCCAATTATATAGCCTTAACAGTTCTAATAACTTACTATAGTATTTTCTAGCATACTGTTAAGTAATATTTTACAAATTAAAAAATCTGTTTTTTAAAAGCATGATTTATGTTTGTAATTGATCGTTGAAAGAAAACTTTTTAAGTATTTGACAATCTTTTGCTTTAGTAGTTGACCATATGTTCAATCAAAGAAAAATAAAAATAGTGATAACACTTTTTTTTTATTACAATGTATATTGAAATAAAAATAACATTGCATAGACATATTGAATATTTTTAAAGTGATGCAACACAAATACAACATTTTATTACAAAAGAAATGATGAATAAGCATTCATTTTTTTGCATAAGACATGACCTTAAACCAGTAATGAACGCTTGCACAAGTTTAGATAGCAAACTTTCCTTTGTGTTTGTTCCCTTACATATACAAGCTTATCTTCCCTATCTGGCCACTAATAAGAGGAAATACTACTCTTAAACATTGTCTATCTCATAGCCATCAGCCACAACATGCACTATTTTCCCTTAAAGCCAAGTTTTGATAGGGTAATATTATCTTGATCTGAAAAGTCATAATACAAGTCAGAATCAATCAGAAATCAATTTGGTGAAGGAATTCACCATTCCTTCACCAAATTGATTTCTGATTGAGTCTGACTCTTCATACTAAATCTGTTTAGAATGAGCAATGCAAACTATGATAAGTCATGACAAACAAAGGAACTCCTGAGTAATTCCTTTGTTTATAATAATTAACCACCCTTCTCAATTACTAAATTTTTGAAATTTTCTGATGCATTGTTGGACCACCCTCTTAACTGACTACAGATTGATAGTAAACAGACAATAAATAAATTTTATTTAGTACCAAACACATTTTGAAACATAATCATTTAATGTTAAAATAAAAGGAACTTACCTGTTAATATTACTCTTATTTGCAACATGTCCTTAGCAAACTGTGAAAAACTTGAAAAATTAGACAAAAACAAAGCACATTAACATTGACTGTCAGGAATTTTTGTTCAAAACTTTTAAATGTTTTACCCATTTAAGTGTGCACAGCCAAATAGTAAGAGAGTAGTTTCCCCCTATTTTTCAAATCTTTCTACCAGAGAAGGGTTTATTTTAATTGTTTAATTTATAAATGGTCAACTATCGGCACATGGTCAATTACTCCCTCGTGTACCTTAGTTTTCTTTATTATTATCAATATTTTTTATTATTATTATTATTTTTTTTTGAGTATTTACTGTATCATAAATTGTAATAACTTTTGTTATAAAATAATAAAAACTTTTATTATCGTCAGTTTATATATTTAATAATTTTAATTGTAAATTAATTCTTTTGAAAATTTAGTTTGTAACTACAAAACTACTTCATTAAAAAATTCTTTTTTTTTTATTAACCATCTTTTGCATAAATTTTAGACTAAACTTATAGTAGTAACTATAAGGTTAGCTAAGTTTAAAAACTAAATAAATAACTAAAAAAAAAAGCATAAATATTTTATAATAAGCATTTCCATATTTTTTCCACAAAATACAGTCTGTTCGTAAAAATATCTTAATGGAGTTGAATAAATCATGGACAATTAATTAACAAATATCTAATAAAGGTTTAAATATACTTACATAATCCTCGTTAATTTATATGTAAAATTCAATTGAGGTTTGCAATTGTTTTCTAAAATTAAAAAATCAATCAGCCTAATATATTAGATTGGTCAATGATTCCCTGATTCTCTGACGCCCAGATTACCTGATTCGGTAATGACATTCGGTTAACTATCAGGGTATTAGCCAGGAATATATTTTTTACAGGGTTTCTGTGATATTGGGAATATTTATTGTTATTGTTCTACAAAATAATATGAGTTTTTTTTCATATGAGCAGATAAGCAGCAGTCAGGCAAATCAGCTGTCATAGTGTGCTAATAACACACTCACTGGTTCATACCAGTTACAGCATTTAATAATAATAATAATAATAATATTGTCCTATTACTTCAAAAAAAAAAGGTCATTAAATTTTGTCAATTTTAAACCCATTGGGAATTCTGAGGTATGCATGGTGCCATTGGGCTGGCTAATGTCCTGACTATATAAATGAAAATAAATTATTTTTAAACATCTTAAGTAATTAATCATTTAGGTTAGAAACCATCATCCAGTAAAACATATTAACAAAACTTTTTTATTTTTGACAAAACTTTTAAAAAAATCAAAAATCAGTTTTACTGCACAAAGTAAATAATTATTTATTCAGTTAAAAATAAATAATATATTTGTATGATTTCAAATTAACATAATCTTATTTCTAAAAAAAATTTTAAACAGTTTTTATATTATTGATGTAATGATTGTTAGAAACAAGTGCAACAGGCACTCCTGAACTTAACATTTATCAAGCACGCATAATATATATACTTCTTTGGCTTCCCTAGCTTCAATTCATTTATTAAAGCAAATAAAATTTATATATGTAAATGATTGCTAAAAACGGGCTCCACAGGCATCCCTGAATTTACTAGTTCATAATAAAATAAAATAAGAGGATGTTAATTTTTTTATTTATTTTTTTATTGTACTTTCTTTGGATTACCAAAAGAAAAAAAAGATCTTTTTATCTCCAAAGTAAAGTAAAGTCATAAAAGTCTGCCAGTAATTCTTATCCAATTTTTTATAATTACATGAATTGCATTAGTACGTGTGAGACAAACAGCAAGTTTCAAACCCACTCTGTACTATTTTACATCATTGCGAGCATAGTTCTAACCGACTGAGCCATTAGCAGGGTTGGGGTCAAAAAAATTTGATCAAATGTAAATATAAATATAAATACAGTAATTTCAGATATCCAAATGCAAATTTAAATACAAATATATGTCATCAGCAATTTCCAAATACAAATACAAATACAAATGTTTGCATCTTAGGTTTTAAGATTTTTTTAAAACAGTATTGATCAAATAGTATACTAAATAGAAGAATGAAAACTTTTAACAAATATTCTTTAAAAACAAATTTTAGTGTTTATAATAAAGGAAAAAAAAAAGGTTTTTCCAAAGAAAAAAAAGATCAACCTAGTTTAATGTGTTTTTTTTTTTGGAAAAGCACCATATGAGGGTTGTTGCAGAACTACCTAGTCTAACAAAGAAAACACAAAAGTTTAAAAAAAAATAATCATGGCTGAAAGCCTTAACCTTTGAAAGCTTGGCTTTTAAATTTTTTTTTTTTTTTTAGATTAGCGACCATTAATAGTGAATGTTTTCAGTAAATTTTTAATATGGAGAAAATTTGAAAAAATATTGAATGACATTGTTATGTCATTCAATATTTTTATTTATAAGGTCTCAGTCCTACCAATATCAAAATTGAACTAGATGAGAATCTAAGGGAGTCTGCTCTCTCATTTGCAAAGGTGAAATATTGGGTTGCAGAGTTTAAAAGAGACTGTTTGACCTATCAAGATAAACCCCACAGTGGTCAACCAATTGAGGTCACCACGCCAGAAATGGTTAAGAAAATCCACAAAATCATACTGGACGATCATCGATTGAAAGTGCGCCAATTAGCTGATATGGCAGGCATATCAAAAAGTGATGTACATTGCATATTGACTGAAAATTTGGACATGAAAAAGCTGTGCGCAAGATGGGTGCAGTGTTTACTCACAATCAACCAAAAACAACATCATGAGGATGTTTTGATGAATTGTTTGGCAATGTTTCACAAAAATAGAAGCAAGTTTTTGCATTGATTTATAACTATTGATAAAACATGGGTTCATCATTTCACTCCTGAAACAAAAGAGCAGTTGAAACAATGGACCATAAGGGGATAATTGGCTCCAAAGAAGGTAAAAACAACTTCATCGGCTAGGATGTTATGGTGCCAGTTTTTCAGGATGCCCATAATTTTCATTGATTATCTTCAAACTTGAAAAAATAGCTTAGTGGGAGAAGATTTTTTACAAATGAAGAGGTAGAGTCTGGGGTTGATGGCTATTTTGCAGAGTTTGATGGTTCTTACTATAAACAAGGTATCAAAGCAATTGAACATTGCTGGGAAAAGTGTATCAAGCTAAAATGTTGAGAAATAAAAATAAATTTTTTCAAAATTTTTGTGTTTTTTATTTGTTAGGCTAGGTATTTTTCGAACAACCCTCATAAATACATTTCAACCAAACACAAATACAAATACTTAAGAATTTTTTTAATCAAACACAATATGAATACAAGTACACCAATTTGTCTATAACTACCAAATACAAATATAATTTCAAATACAAATACGTCTTTGACTCCAACCCTGGCCACAGGATGGGTTTTCTATGGCATTTTACAGAATCAACTTTAAATGATTCTATTTCTATAAAACAGAAATAGATTTTTCCATTATGAATCATAATGAAAATAAAAAATTAATGTCAGAACTGTTTGTTTTTAATTAATAATAATAAAAAAAGTACTTTTTCTTTTCTTTCCATAACATTAATTTTTGCTGGTAAAATAATCTGTTGTTCTTTTTTATTGTTATTTTTAATCTTTGATCATTTTTTCTTTTAACTGTTATTTATATTTTATTTTTTTCAGGTTTTTTTTTTTCTTGTTTTATTACCTCTATTTATATATATCTTTTGTTCTTTTTATTTTTATTTTTACATCTCTAAAAAGGTTTTTGGATTAATCCTTTTTTTATCTTTTTTATTTCCTTTTCGCTGTTAAATAAACACCTCCACCAGTTACAATATCATTGCAAAGAATTGATGATTCTTTGCAATAAATCATCTTAAATTCTTTATATTGACATCGCAAACAGTGGTAAATTTCAAATTGTGTAATTTTAAAACATACTTATATATATATCAAGTTTTACTGTTAGATTCCTGGCACGAACTTAACTTAGTTGTAAAAAAACTTGAATTGTAAAACTAAAATAACATAAGTATCTCAATCATGACACATATGCAACAAATTTCCCCTCGTTTTTTGATGTTTTTTTTTTATGAAAAAAAATAGTTTCAGATTCTAGACTTTCACTTGAAAATTGCATTGCATCAACCCCTCATTAATTTTTACTCCCGTAAAAAAAACTATTTTTTTTTCATAAAAAAAAAACATCAAAAAACGAGGGGAAATTTGTTGCATATGTGTCATGATTGAGATACTTATGTTATTTTAGTTTTACAATTCAAGTTTTTTTACAACTAAGTTGAGTTCGTGCCAGGAAAATGAGTATGCAACATGTTTATATATAGAATATAAAATCTATAGAACTATAAGGTTGTTTTGTTTTGCATTTTAAATCAGGGCCGAAGACACAGGTTTTAAAGTGGAGGGGCACAATTGCCAATTTTTAAAAAAGTCCTCTATATCAAAAAAATTAAAAAAAAAAAAAAAAAAGGCACGTGCTCCCCCAGCATTTGGCTTAATTTTTAGATAAGGGAGTGTCTATAAATTATGTAACACTAAATTTCACAAATGAACAAAACAAAAATAATCAAAAGTTGTCTCTCACAGAGTCAAGTTAAATAAAAAATCAAAGCAGCTCATTAATTTTATTAAAAATCACCACCTAAAGAAACTTAAGATCTCCTTTATCTTTGTTAAAAATAAATTTAGCTTAATTTATAGACTATTTACCTCCTAGCATTTTATAGTTTATGGTTTTTAATGGTCTAAGATCTTCTTAGTTCTGCAATTTGTATAGTGTTGCGTACAGTAAATGGAACAATCGTGTATAATAAGTCTTTAAAAATGAGAAAACTTTTGAATTTTATTTTAACAATTAGAAAACTTTTTTCGCTATACTATTTTTTGTTTTTTGCTATAAATATTGATATAACTATTATAGATAACAAAAATTTTGCTATAAATATAGCAAGATTGAAAAATATTTCAAACTCATTAGGGAAAGTCTTTCCTACCCCAAAACAACACTGATGACAGCACACTAAACCACTAAGCTATCAATAATATGCGTTTAGGAGAAAAACAAACCTTATTATAAATTTCTTATAAGCTCTGGTATGTGGAAAAGGTGCGCATGTTAATTTTTTTGCTTTTAAAGCAATTTTTCAAAATGAATTACTTTACATAAAAATATTGAAGTAAACAAATAATAGGTATAGAAATGATCAGTGTGGAATAGATAAGTATAGAAATGGTAGGTTTGGTAAAAACCTGTTTTTTATGGGTCTGGAATGCTAGGATATATATATATATATATATATATATATATATATATATATATATATATGTATATATATATATATATATATATATATATATATATATATATATATATATATATATATATATATATATATATATATATATAAATATATATATATATATATATATATATATATATACATATATATATATATATATATATATATATATATATGTATATATATATATATATGTACATATATATATGTACATATATATATATATATATATATATATACATATATATATATATATATATATATATATATATATATATATATATATATATATATATATATATATATATATATATATATATATGTATATATATATATATATATATGTACATATATATATATATAATATATATATATATATATATATATATATATATATATATATATGTATATATATATATATATATATATATATATATATATATATATATATATATATATATATATATATATATATATATATATATATATATATATATATATATATATATATATATATATATATATATATATATATATATATATATATATATATATATATATATATAGATATATATATATATATATAGATATATATATATATATATATATATATATATATATATATATATATATATCCTAGCATTCCAGACCCATAAAAAACAGGTTTTTACCAAACCTACCATTTCTATACTTATCTATTCCACACTGATCATTTCTATACCTATTATTTGTACTACTATTAAACTTTGGGAATTTTACCTACTATTAAACTTTGGGAATTTTAAACCCATTGGGAATTCTGCAGTATATGCAGATTTCCCGATGGTTGAAAAAGTAAATATGGTGTTTTATTTTCCACATTTAAATTGAAAGAGTTAATATACGATGTTTTGTTTTCCACATATAAATTGAAAAAGTAAATATATGGTGTTTTATTTTCCACATATAAATTGAAAAAATAAATACATGATGTTTATTTTCCACATATAAATTCAAAAAGTAAATATATGGTGTTTTATTTTCCACATATAAATTGAACAAGTAAATATATAGTGTTTCATTTTCCACATATAAATTGAAAAAGTAAATACATGGTGTTTTACTTTCCACATATAAATTGAAAAAGTAAATACATGAGAGTTTATTTATCTGGATATTAATTACTGGTCATTATTTTGCTAGCAGTGAGTAGGGAAGTCTATAAAAGAAAAGAACTTATACGTATGAGAAATAAGTAAGATGTTTTTAAAGAAAACTTAATACTGACCTGAATTTAATTTTATGACTATAAATCTTTTCAAATAAGTGATTGATATACATAATTAAAATCGGAAATGTTCATTTTTTTAAATTACTAAACTTTTTTACAATGTTATTTGTTAAAAGTAAACTTGAATTATTAACTGTTTTGGAAAAAAATCTATCAATTAAATACTGGATTATATTAAATTGTGCGCAACAATAAGAAAAATTATTTTGTAGTGAAATACCATTAACAATAATACCATTAATTTTTGCATCTATAGTCAAAGTAGTAAGTTTTTTTGGACTTGAACTTAACCATGCTGAAATAAAAGTTGAATGACAAAAACTACTGTCAAAAGTAAAAATAAAAGATGCATGACATAAACTACTGTCAAAACTAAAAGTAAAAGTTGAACGATATAAACAACTGTTTTCACTAAAAATTAAAGATGCATGAAATGAACTACTGTGAAAAGTAAAAATAAAAGATGCATGGCATGAACTACTGTCAAAATTAAAAATATAAGATGCATGACAAGAATTACTGTCAAAAGTAAAAATAAAAGATGCATGGTATAAACTAATGTCAAAAGTAAAAATAAAAGATGCATGACATGAACTACTATCAAAACTAAAAGTAAAAGATAAATGACATAAACCAGGGTTGCCACCATTATTTAGGAACAAAATTCCCTGATTTTCCCTGATTTTTTTGCTAAAATTTTGCTTTTTCCTTCCTGATTTTCCCTGATTTTCCCTGATTTTTTGCTAAAATTTTGCTTTTTTTCCCCTGATATTTCCAGCATTCAAATGCCCAAACTTAACATTCAAACTTCTCCAATAACCCCTGAGCATTTTTAACTCTAAAAAACAGATGTAGAACTAGATGTAGTACAGATTTCATCTGTTGAATAAGAAGATCAGCTTTTTGTTTAGAAAGATTTGACATAGGACTGATGCAACCAGTTGCTTTCAGAAAAGAAATTTGATTCATAATCTTTTATGAAACTGTTGATGACATCCTGAGATAATGCATCCTTTTTCCTCAATTTAATTATGTCATGTTCTGCAGCAAATCCAATTTTGATAATGATAAACTTTTGTCAAAATTAAAAATGAAGGATGCATGACATGAATTACTGTCAAAAGAAAACTGAACAAATATTTATGAAAAAAATGTAATTTAATAATCATTAGTTTATAATTTACTTAAAATGAGGTATATTATTATAAATGTTAAAATCTTTATATTTTACAGAATGCACTTTTTGTCATTCTGTACAACAAATATCTGCTAATTTATCTAAAAAATTTTATTTAACAATATTTGCACAAAACCTAACTTTTATCTGGGCTTAATAGCCACAATTTAGTTATTTGATTTATTTATAGCTTTTGTAAGTTTACTTTTAAACATTAATATCAGATAAAATTAAAACAATCTTAAATCAGAAACCGATGAGATTTAGATCTCACAATATCTGAATTTAACATTTTTGTAAAGTTCTAATAATGGTTAAAATAAAAAAAAAATCCAAGAATATAGGGTTGCATTTGAATAATATTGTCAACATTCCACATATAAATTTTATTTGTATATAAACTGTATAAATTTTTACACTTATACTTAAAAATAATTTTTTACACAAAAATTAACAAAATAAACATATTAAATTTTTTTTTCATGACAAAAGTAAAAAGACTGAAGTCTAGTTATAGTTTGACTTGCTAGAATATTTTGCAAGCAATTGACATAATTTGGTTAATTTATTTTTTAACCACTCATTATTTTATTAGCTATAACTAGACCAGTCTAAATGAGTAAAGATTTTATACATATGAGAAATGAGCAAGATATTTTAAATAAAACTAAAAATACTAACCTAAACATAATTTTGTGACTGTAAGATTTTTTATGTATCCTGGTTGAGCATTATATCTAAAACTAGATACATACATTTCAATATTACTCATCTCTTTTTCAATTATATTTCCTGATGTACCTATATTCGAACCATTAACTGATATGGAAAAATTGTAGTACCCATCAATTAAATGTTGGACAATATTAAATTGTGTGCAATCAAATGAAAATGGTTTTTTTTTTGCATAACTTAATTGTAATTTACCACTTATCTCTGCATCTACAGTCAATGAAGGAAAATTTGTGTTATTTAATGAACTTAGCCATAATGAAATAAAAGTTGTTCTTGTTTGATATATTGTAGTCAAAGTTATATCTTCACTTATTTTTTCCAAACTGAAAAAATTTAACCAATTTTTATCATAAGTATTTTCTGAGCTGTAAGCAGGAGAAAATAAACAAGCTTCAAATTTTACTTCAAACGTTTTTGGAAAAATATTAAATGTTTTAAGAAGCTGATTTTGTGACACCCTGATTTTTTCTTTTGAAACAAACAAATCTAAGAAAAAAGTTTAATTGAGAAAATGTTCATAAATTTTATAAAATTATGTGTGTGCAGCGTGTGTGGGTGCAGTGTGTGTGGGTGCAATGTGTGTGCGTGCAGTATGTGTGCATGCTAGGTGTTTGTGTGTAGGTGTATGTTATAATAATTTATATATGACTCAAAAAAATTTTTTTTTTTTTAACAAGTAATTAGTGTTTGGAAGTAAAGACTGTAGAGTAAGATAATGACAGACGTAAGATGTAAGAGTAAGATGATTGACAGACGACTTAAAAGATTGCAAAATTATATGAATCAGGAAAGCAAGATGAAGGAAGCGAATTCCAAAGAACTGATGTTCAAGGAAAAAAAAACTAGAGGAATAAGAGTTTTTGGAGTTTTTGGAGTATATATATATATATATATATATATATATATATATATATATATATATATATATATATATATATATATATATATATATATATATATATATATATATATATATATATATATATATATATATATATAATCAAGAATAGAATTAAAGCACAAAAAATTATATGCTAAAACATAATTTTTGCATACCAATATTTCCTTGAGCATCCTCTGACAGCATAATTAATTTCAGCACTAGATTTATCTAAAGGATATACAGATTATTAATAAATTAGCTTGTATTTAGCTTGAACAACAAACTAATAAATATAGGTTAAATAGATTTCTTCTAGCAATTTGTTCCAGAAAATTGTTTTTGCAATTTGATCCAGTAATTAGCCCTAGTAATTAGTCCTAGTAATTTGTTCAAATCAAGTATGGTCAGAATAATGATCATCATGATTACCCTGGTACTGAAAACATGTTATTAGGTAGAACTTACATCATTCCCTGTTTCTTATTAGAATTCGGCTAGGAGAAAGTTAGGAGTTAACTCCAACTTACAGTACCCCATTATTGTGGCACTTGGTTCAGTAAAGGCTAGAGATAGTGTCTTAATAAAAACACTTATTCTGGATAAATTTTAAATGCACCTGGGTACTGAATTGAAATAGACCTCCAAGGTTATAGATATAGAAACTTAAGAATTACTTAGAAGTAATTCTCAAGTAAGTAATAATCACTATTTTTATCTTACATTGCTAAGCAGTATCAGAAATTTTGAAAGATCATTTGTAACTAATTATAAAACTATATAAAAATTATTTATATAATTTATATTATTATATTAAGTATTTAAAGTTAGTTACAGTTGCACAAAAAATGTGGAAAAGGTCACAACAATGCTTTGTCAAACAAAAATAAAAAAATCCTAAATGAAAAAATCACAGAAAATTGTTATTGTAAAAAAAAAACAATTGCTCTATTAATAAAACATGTTTACCAAAAAATATTGTGTGTAAATGTGCTATTTTTTCTAAGAATGTACCTGATAAACAATATATTAGTTTACCAGAAGATAAATGGAAAAGACATTTTACTAACGATAAACAATCCTTTAAAAATAAAAAGTATTCATAAGACACCATACTGTTAAAACACATATGGAAATTGAAAGATAAAAGTATTGATGATTTTATATTGAATCGGACCATCATTAAAACAGCACATGCATATAATAATATTGGAAAAAAATGTATACTATACCTTCAAAAAAAAATTGAAATAATTACACATACAAACCAAGAATGTTTATTTAACATAAAATCAGAATTATTTTCTAAATCCAGGCATCAAAATAAGTTTCTCCTAAAAAACTATAAAAAATAAGTGAGTTCAAAAAATAATTATATTAAATCCCCTTATTAAAAAAATATTTAAAAAAAAACCAAAATAAACAATTCTAAAGAATTCTTTTTATAATTGTGTTAGCATATTTCACAAATTTATACCAAAAATGGTCTAATTTGTATCTATTGCCGATACGTATATTTTAGACGTATATTAGAGATCGAAAAGATGTCTAATTCTAGAGATACTATTTTTGCTCTGTTTTAGATGCATATTAGATGCATAAAATAGATCGTGCTTAGATAATTTTTTTTTCATCTAAACTTAGATGTCTATAAGATGTCTTTTATAGATTTGTTATAAAAACAAGAAAAAAAATTTAACTAATTTTACGGAGCGATAATTATAAATGACCGCCATTTAAGAAACCCTGCAGAAACTTATTTCGAAAAAAGCATGAAGATTTTAACCTATGGAAGACATCAATGATTATTTCTTTTGATAAATTTTAAATAATAAAATAACATGCTATTATAGTTCACAAAATATTTTGATGATTTGATGCTTAGCATGTTTGCTAAAATCTTTGTGATTTGAAATTTATTTTGCAGAAATATTACAAAATTAATATTTCCAAGTTATTTTTATTTCTAGAATAAAAGAAAATGTAATTAAAAAATATATATATATATATATATATATATATATATATATATATATATATATATATATATATATATATATATATAATATATAAGTATTTTTCAATAACACAAAAGATTGTTTTATTGGTTGTGCACTTATCGTTTTTATCGAGGAACCAAGATTCATTTATGTCTTTTACAAAAAGGGCATACGAAAAGAGACGCAGTAGACGTGTCCAAAAAGAATATTAAAAAATACTAGAATTTTCATCAGTACATATAAAAAAAAAAAATCAAATGTTGGAACTTCTAAAAAAAATGATTTCTTATCTTGCGAAAATCTAAAAGAATATTTCGACCATCGTGAGTCACCGATTCTGTACAATGAATACTCTTATGACCAAAAGCCTAATGAGTATAAGCATAACTCAACTTTAAAGGAAAGTTTTTCTGCATGTTTTTCTAACCAAGTAATTATGCACTAAACAAGTGGATTGACAAAGAATAGCAACAAATTTATTGTTCCAAAAAAAAAACTATAATCATGCACTAAAAAAACAACCTTTCGTCAACAAAAGAATGGCACAAATTTCCATTGATAAAGTGTAAGATAGCAGATAGTCAGTATCTAACTTGTTTTGTGTTTTTTTTAAAGGTAACTTAATTACTTTTTTGTAGCAAAATGATTTATAATTTTATGTCTTAAAAATGAAACAAAATATACTACCACAGCAAACAGTTCAGGAGTCTGGAGTCATAGCATGCCATGATATGAGCAATCAGCTGACAGGTGACAGCACACAGGCAGAATTTCGTTGACAAGTGCCATTTTGCAGCATACAAAACGAGTGCAACTTTTTTGGTTTGTTTCATTTTCTCAAGTCTGGTCCGTGTCAACGTCACGGAAGTTTTTTAATAATTGAAGGAAGTATCCAGAAGTTTCCAGAAGCATGCAGAAGCTTCCAGAAGTTTCCAGAAGAAGCATCAGGAAGCATCCAAAAGTATCCAGAAACATTCAGAAGCATTCAGACGCATCCAGAAGCTTCCAGAAGTATTGAAAAGAAGCATCTAGAATCTTCCAGAACAGGTTCACACAGGTTCATTTTACTATATAAGAGACATGTAATTCAGTCAGTTTATGGAAGTCAATCAGTCAGTATTATCAAGACAATTTATCGAAGTGAGTTTTATCAAAGTGTTTTATCGAAGAACATCAATACCAGAAGTGAAATACAACAAGTGTTTCATTACATCAATACAGCCCACATCCAACCAAGACTTTATGTTCCACAGAGCCATATTTTATCATCACAAGGTAAATGTAACACGGTAAGCCTTGAGAAGTGTGTTTATTTATTTTTATTATTTTTATGACTTCAAGTGCAAAAATGGTTCCCAACAGTCTTGGATTGGAACTAAGAGAGAAAATTATTTGCGATTACTTAAGTGGAATGTACCAAAAAAGTATTTGTGATAAATATCGCGTGAAAAAATAGATTGTATCAAGACAATGTTCTAAATATTGTTCCACATGGAAGTTGGCAGCAGATAACAATGGTGGAAGACCTCGTTCCACCACTTCTAGAGAGAATTCTATGATCGTCAGATCTGTCAAGAAGGATCCCTGGATATCATCAGTTGAGGTACAAAAGCAATTAGAGCTGCCTGTACGTCAAGCGTCTGGAAAATGCCTTGATTTACCTTATTGCCATAAGACCGGGAAGCATGGTGGAGGCAATGTGATGGTCTGGGGGTGTTTTTCTGCTAACGGTCTAGGTCCAATACATCGAATCGATGGAATAATGGACCGTTTCATGTATAAAATTATCCTGAAAGATGTTATGTTACCTCATGCTGAATGGAATATTCCAAAAAAATGGGTTTTTCAGCAAGACAATGATCCCAAACACACTGTAAAAGTAGTCAAGCAGTGGTTTCAAGACAACCATCTATTGGTGATGGATTGGCCGCCTCAATCTCCGGATCTCAACCCTATTGAGAACCTGTGGGAGATCGTTAACAGCAGAGTTAATCATGAATGTGTTTGTAATAAGGATGAACTGTTTGAACAAATCCAAAAGGCCTAGGCAGCGATTCCACAAAGTTTCATTGATCACCTGATCGAATCTATGCCTTAAAGATGCAAGACTGTAATCGACAACAAAGGATTCACCACAAAATATTGATAGCAAAATACAGCTTGGTCAACATTTTGTGGAGTTGCACTTGTTTTGTCCAGAAGGAAATCAACTTTTTTTTAATACTTTTGATTAATTTATTAATTTTCGTGTACTAATAATGAACTTTGTGATGAATAAAATTTAAAGAACGTTGTCTCTAAACAGTTACATAGTTATTTCTCTAAATTGAAAAAATGCAGCACTTTTATACAAAGAAACTAAATTAGCATTATTTGGTTGCACTGGTTCTGTCCGATACTGTATGTATATATATATATATATATATATATATATATATATTATATATATATATATATATATATATATATATATATATATATATATATATATATATATATATATATATATATATATATACATATATATATATATATATATATATATATATATATATATATATATATATATATATATATATATATATATATATATATATATATATATATATATATATATATATATATAATATTTTATAAAAACAGATTCAGAATTCTACATGTCTTTTAAAGTCATTTAAATGTCATTAATGTTTATATTTTAGATATCGGCGACGTGGAAGAAAATGTTGACGGCAATGAAGAAATATAGTTACTTATATATATTTTTGTGAAATAAAAATTAAGTAATGTTAGTTAAAATGTTTCTTTACTTATTTAATTTAATCCTTTTTTATGACTAATTCAACCGCTGTAACACCTTTGTATCAAACAAGTCCCAGCAAACAAAAAGATATCTAAAATGCATCTAATATGCATCTAAAAACTGGTCTAAAAGAGGGTAGGTACAATCGGCAGAGCAGAGCAGATTGGCAGAGCAGATCATTGAAATGTTAATAACGGCAGAGCAGAATATTCAATCAGCCGTTACCTAATGTGTGATCTGCCAAATAATTCGGCAGGTCATATAATAGAATTTTTATAATGTGATTGCCAAATATTTTTATGAAAAACGATGCACATTGAATAGAAAGAACTATGAGTTGACTTTTTAAACATAAACGTTTTTTGTTGTCACAATACTTTTCCAAAAATAAAGTGATCTGCCGTATTCTAATGGGTGATCTGCCGAATATTTCGGCAGATCATAATGCAACCGGCAGAGCAGATTGGCAGAGCAGATCATTGTAATAATAATAACGGCAGAGCAGATTAGCACACACAGACAATCAGCCGTTTTTTATTTTGTGATCTGCAAAGTTATATTTTAATAATGCGTGATCTGCCAAATAATATTTGAATAATGTGTGATCTGTCAAATAACATTTGGCAGATCACACATTCGAAAACGGCTGATTAGATAATCTGCTCTGCCGCTATCAACATTACAATGATCTGCTCTGCCAATCTGCTCTGCTCTGCCGATTGTACCTACCCTCTAAAAGACGTCTAAATTCACGTCGTGAACGGGACATAAATAGATGTCTATCTTATAGATGTCTTTTAGATGCATTTTATTCGACACAAATAAATGCCTTAGATGCATAAAAGATGTGAAATATACATTTAAAGATGTATATTAGATGTATATTAGATGCATAAAAGAGCTATTATTAGCTAAAAAATTATCTAATTATCTTTTTAAAACGCGCCTTAGACATCTATTTAAGAGACGTATTTTATACATCTAATATGCATCTGTGAGATGTATATTTCACATCTTTTATGCATCTAAAGCAATTATTTGTGTCGAATAAAATGCATCTAAAAGACGTCTATAAGATAGACGTCTATTTATGTGCCGTTCTAGACCTGAATTTAGACATCTTTTAGACCAGTTTTTAGATGCATATTAGATGCATTTTAGATATCTTTTTGTTTGCTGGGACTAACTGAAAACTTTTAAAACTGAGTAAAAAGTATAAATTAAGCAGTTTTAATTACAACGACGTGATTAAACAGCTTATGGAAACCGTGGCAACCAAGCTATGATTTAATAATTTAAGTAGTCTCTACACAGCCGGCATTGGGCAGGGGCGGATCCAGGGTACGTCTGTAGACGTACCCAAAAATAAAACTAAATCTAAAAAAAAAGTTAATATATTATTTAAATATTGCGTATAAAAATAATTTTTTTAGTTAAACCATTAAGTGAAATAAATTTAAGTTTTATAAAAAAAAAAATTTCGCTTCTTGTTTAGTGTAATTAAAGTTGCTTTTTGTTTAGAGCGGTAAATAAAAAAAATCTTTTTTAACTGGAGGTTATAGTAATAAAAAATAAATAATAGAAGACTCAATGGACGTACCCAATATTATTTTGTTAAACGATAAAAACGTTTTTAAATTTTTAATTTTTTTGTTATAAAAGCAAAATATTAATTTCTTTTCTTATAGCAATTTTTGGACGTACCCAAAGTAGTACACCCTACGAAATATCTTAGTCAAAAACTATTGTTTAGCGCTAATCAGGAGGTGAAATATATTTTAATAGTTCTTACATATCAAAATAAAACAATGGACGTACCTAACATTATTTTTTTCTGTGATTCAGCTTTTTATTTAGTTTAGTTTTCAATATTTAAATTTTAAGTAATCGATTTTATTTATGAATAAACACTGTCGGACGTACCTTTCAACTTTCACTCTGAAATATTTTATTGTGTTATTTGCTGCGACCTCAAAGTAAATTTGCTGCGACCTCAAAGTGCTAAGACAAGTTCTGTTTGTACCTAAAACTTTTTATTTTTATTTTTGTTAATATCTCAGGGTGGCCACAGTTCCTCTAAAGTTCTCTTTTTTCAAAAATCTCTTAAATCTATTATCCTCTAAAAAGTTAAAAATGTGATCAAATCTCCTCTTTAACTTCTTTTTTTTTATTTTTTTATTTCTTGATAGTAGTATAATGTTAAAAGTTCATCGTCTGCTAAACTGGTTAACGTCTGAAATGAGGATTAGGGTGTAAAAAATTAATTTTAGCAAATCCATGTCATCTAACATTAAAAATGAGATTGTTTAAAAACCCTGTATTGTATAAAAACCCTGAAATAGTTTATTGTGATATTTAAAATGTCTCGATTCTTGTCAAAGGTGAGTTTCCACTCACAGGAAAAGAATGGGAAAAATAATCACGTGAGCATGCGTAGTTTTCCTTCGGACATATTAAAACTTATGCTACGCATGCCCACGTGATTATTTTTCCGTCCCTTTCCCGTTACCGTGTAAAAAGTTTATGATGAGTGGATGAGTTTTTTTCACCAGCATAAACACATTTCTGTGTTTATGCTGGTGATAAAATTCTTCAAGATCAGATATTATCAACAAAAAACGCTTCTTACATATCTAAGACACCATAATATCTGGTAAAAAAGTGTTTCAGAGAAGTTAATAACAAAATAGTTTAAAAATTTTAAACATTTTTCTGATGAAGCTTCTGACAATTAAAGTAGAGAACAACTACTTTTAATTATATGGTTTGTTGGTTCAAAGTTCAATAAGAAAATTTATCAGTTTCTTAGATTGCACAAATGGTGTTACTAGTAAAGATTATTTTATTTTTTGGTAAAAATTATTCCGGATTTCTTTTTATATATCATGGATTGTGATATGGTGGTGCTAGAGCAATTGATGGTCAAACTAAAGATTTGTCCTCTTGCATTTTAAATCTAAATGAAAAAGCTGCATATGCTCATTGCAACAGTCATAGACTGAATTTAGTTATTTTTGCCTCATACAATGTGCAATATGTCAAGTATCTTTTTAGCACTATGTCATGGTTTGCAATACGACAAGTATCTTGTTTGTATATTTAATATACAAACATTTTTTTATAATTTGTGTTATTTTATAATATATTTGTTAAAATATAAATATAAAATTTTGCATTGTGTAATTTATTTTATTAATGGTAATGTGAAAATATAGTTTTTAATAAAAGATCTGTAAATAATGTGTAAATATATAATTTTATAATCTAAAAGTAAAGTGCCCCGGTGATAACCTTGCATATTTTTGATTGAATGAAGGCTCTTATTAGATTAACTTAATAGACCTCTTTTAATAATAAACCTCGGTTAATCTTGATAGATAAACCAATGAGGTCTTCCATGGTGGGTGTATGTATTTTTTTGCTTTTCAATTAACAACTAGAGACACCAAAAAAGAAAAAAAAGGTCCTCAATATTTCCAATATGCCAACTATAGTTCAAAACTTGCTTAATGTGTTAACTCAAATGCTTGTAAGATATCTTTAAGGGGAGGGGTTGAGGGACACCCCATCCTTCGGGACGGCCCTGGGGAGGGGGTTAAAAATTTTTCTAAAAAATTAGATGTACCCAAATACTTTCCTGGGTCCGCCCCTGTTAGGTCCTAAAAAGACGTCTTCTAAACATTTAAAAAACGTCTTTTTAGGACCAAATGCCGGCTGGGTAGAATAAGAACGATGAGAGAGGCAAAGAAGCATATGTGTTACATATGGGTAAACGATCAACTAAATGAATTATAAGCCTCTATATAATTGATACTGCGTGTGGTTTTTATTACGAAAGGACAACTTAAAATTCGACAAAGATAAAAAAAAAAAGAAAGAAAATATATATATTAACAAAGAAATTTTAAAATTAACAGTGATAAGTAAATATTACTTAAAACAGTGGCAGTGACACTGTGGAAATTTAAAAAAATGATAGAAGACTTATTTACAAAGTACAAAGTAGAAACAACTTTATAAATATTGCTAGTGCAAACACCAAAATCTTAAACGAGAAGTTGGATAAAGTAGAAAAAATATTTTAGAAAATGTTAAATATCAACTCTAGCAACAGAAGTTAAAGAAATAAAAGTTAGTTTAAATTTTCACGAGAAACTCATTGAAAACAAAATTAAAACTGAGTTGGATATTTTCATTAAAAACAAATCTAATCCTAACGAAATTCAAAATAACAACACTGAACTCAAAAAAGTAAATAGCTTATAAATGAGGAGTTTTATTTTCTGTTAAAAACAACCTTCTGTATAAAGTTCGAAATAAAATGTGTGCTTTCCACGAAAACAAAGATATTTTAACAATAAAACTTACTCAATGCAACTAAGGCCTGGTACTCGTTTTTCCGAACAAAAATATAAGTTTTTTCAATTACAATATATGTAAGTTTTTTTCATCAAAAAGTATGACATATTTGGTATGTATGGAAAGATTATTTTAACTACTATTATAATCTCGTAAAAGTAATGCGGCTATAATAAATCGTCAAGTGTAATTTTATTTGGAAAAGATGCAATTTTTAACACAAAGTGCCTTGGGGCTTGGCTATAGATAAGTCTATGAACATGATTTTTTGATATAAGCATGTATTGATGTTTGTTTGTTTTAATGAACGTAACTTGACATTTCTAATCAGAAATTATTTGGGAAAATTATCAATGAAAAACCATATTTTTTATGAAAATTGAATTAGATTTAGATTTAACCTATGGTAGTGTTAAGTTTTCTACCAAAGTCGTTTTTGCATAAATAATCATAACTTTTAGCCCCATTTAAAAATGCGTAAACATTTAAAAAACAGAGGCGGAAAATTTTATAAATAATTTACATTCAATTTGAATTCTTTGTTTGCATAAATTAAATACCAATAAGCGTTCCAAAATATATTAATAAAGAAAACCATTTTTGAAAAGAAAAATATTACCTGAATGGGGATTTCAACATAAACTCCTTTGATTATT